TATAAATAAATAAATAAATAAGAATTTTCCATACATGATATGTGTATATATAACTGTTATTTGTATATAAATAATATATGAGTTAGTTTTATAATAGAATAAAATAATCTATATAAATGTGTAGTAATCATAAATACAAACCCATGAGTATAAACATCGCCAAAATCTGACACTTTATAAAGAAGTTATGATTTGTCAAGATACAACGCGCCAATTTTGTTTATAAAATATAAAATGAAAATAGATTGTGAAGTAGTTGTTAAGATATAAAAGAAAATTTTAGTAGACGTAAATACGAAACCGTAGATATAAAGTATTTTGAAAACGGAGCTAGTATGTGAAAATTACGATTTTCTGAAGATATCGAGAAAATAGGAGTTTCCAGCGCAGCAACCAGGCCACCGGCTACCAACTCGTCTCCATTGGACGCACTGGATGCTGCCACATGGCAGTTGGAAAAGTCTCAACACCACCAACAACCTGATGACGTGGTAGAAGTAGAAGACACCACGTAGGGCGCGACACGCTTTTCAAAAACTTTTCCTATAAAAAGATTTCGACCTCCTCCTTCATTCCTTACTATTTCCGATCGGATTCTCTTTCAACCCTCGAGATTTTAGTCACTCATGATTTGATTTCTTCGTTCCTTTAGTATCGTTAGCAGAGCACTGAAGCGTTGTAGAATCTTTTCAGAAGATGGATTCAACGTCGAAGTCACGCTCACAGAATTCCTAATGTTATTCCAATAACTTTTAATAATAATGAAACATTCATAAATAACTGTGTAACTTGATAACCAAGTAATCAACTTGTATTCTAGATAGGAATTGGTTCAAACGATAAAACCCATCCAACATAGTGCATAAAAGTAGGGATCTGTTATGCAGATGCAACACTGCATAATGCAACACTTTACGAACGTTTGTATTGCACGGAAAAATATTTATTGTCCAATGTAGAATTTCTTGATATCTTCAACCACTATATAGGTTGATGTACCTTGCAATGTATTATATATGTATCATGTTGTGTATTATTTACATCGATGGTTAATGTTTTATACCATTATTTTGTCAATCGGAAATGGTTATAATCATGGCCAGACTTGAGGAGGTGCTTGAGGAGGTGTGAGGTGTACGACTGCATAGGATTGTGTCTTTAAGGGGGGCCAAAAAAAAATTACGTAAACAAAACTTTTTGTTGGAAATTTGTCACTAATTGTCGTTAATGCATCACCAATCCATTGCTAACCCGTTGGATTCAAGTGGTTTCTTTTGTGGTTGTTGTTGATTATTTGTAAATAAACAGTTTATTTTATTTTATTCATAGGCATTAACATAATTAACAACAATCTATTACGTATCGAATCTTATCGTAATATTAATAAATTTTGTTTATATTTGAAAAATATTATTAAATGTCTGTTTTTACTTTCCAGGTCGGGCCTTCAAAATTCACCCCTAGGGACAAACGAGAAAAATGAGAAAAAGTCCATGACATTTAAGGGGACAAATTAGAAAAATGAGAAAGAAGTCCTTCACATTTTCCAGTTGTAACATTTTCCAAGTCGAGTGGGTTTTCTATTTTAGTGAACGTAGGACCTTATGTTAAAGCCCATGACATTTAAGGGGACAAATGAGAAAAAAGTCAATATTTGGGTATGCAATTGGAATGATTCCAAAGTTCAGGGATGCAAACGTACAATAAATTTGTGTCCCAATAATTTATAGTAAGAGAGGATGGGAGGGACGATAAGCATTCAGCGAAGACGTGGAGAGAGATGAAGCATCATAAGCCTGCAGCTGTTCTTGGAACCGGAGATCAAGATCATAATTGAACCCTTCATATGCCACATCTTATAAATTAGGTTTCACACATATAGCTAGGGAGAAAATCCAAATGTGTTAATCTCTCGACTTCTCGCCTCTTATCTTTTTATTCGGATTGAATAATTATTTGATTTTACAACAAAGATTACTGTTTAAATTATTTTATTAAATTCCCGCCTCTTATCTTTTTATTCGGAGTACTTTTTAGGGCGTTTTTAACATATTTTACGTCATAAAAGAATATTTAAATTAAGAATAATAACAAAATTGACCATTGTAATTTTACATTTTTATGACCTACTTTTGAGTCATTTGCTAAAATAACCACCATTGAAATGGCTAAATGGGTCCATTAAGACTTGTTTTCGACTAAGGGGTTGTTTGTTTACCACTTAATGCCTCTTAAAAGTGGCTATGTCTGAACCTTAAGGATTCAGATTGTTTGTTTAGATCTTAAAAAACGATCTGAAAATTAAAAATGCATCTGATTTGGTAAGATCTAAAAGGGCATCTGAAAAAAAAAAGACGCGCTTATCCTCGTGCCCTCCCACACTCGTTCATCTCTTCCCCGCGTCCCACAATCGCCTCTACTTCCAACGCCAGTCACAGCACCCTTTCTGGCCGTCGCTACCCTCCAACACCTCCTCGCATCGTCGATCCCATACTGCATCGCCTCCCCCATCATCCTCCGATCTCCTCTATTGTTCATGTACGGAATTGATGCCTCCCCTTTTTGCGTTTAGTTCTTTCCTGTTTCCAGAATCCGATCGACACCCACCCCATCCTTCTCTCTCTAAAATTGGTGAGAATTCACGGATCGAGTTATGCAGAATCTTAAGTATGTTTGCTTGAATCGAAGGTAATTTGCTCGATTTCTCTGTGTTATAGATATTGCAACCTTTGTGTAACTATGATTTGCAACTTGTAGCGCGAATTTTGTGAATTTCTTCCTCCCTTCATCTTTGTGTTTATTTGTTGAATCGAGGTTTGACATCTGTAACTGGAGCACTCGTTCATCTCTGTGTTTATTTGTTGAACAGTATTGTTGAAAATGTGCTCTTTGTTCTAATTTGTTCTTTTTTGTTGATATATGTGTATGTATAGCTGAAATTTATTGTTAAATCTTGTTGATTTGTGCTGAAATATGATTCTTGATCTTACTGAATTATGTGTTCATTTGCTGAGAATGTGTTTGTAGTTCTTTATTGTGCTGAATTTTGTTATGTGATGAATTATTGTTGAATTCATTTGCTGAAATGGAATTATGAAATTGAAATATTTGTGGATGTATATCTGAAATTGAATTAATTTGTTGAAATTGAGTTCATTTGCTGAATTCATTTGTTATGGGTTGTTTGTTCGTTTGAGTCTTTTTTTTGAAAAAAATTGGGTTATGATTAGTGATTAATGGGTAAGATGATGGTTTAAGATCATGTTTCCAGTTTGACGGATTTCATCACATATGTTTTTAAGGTGTGGTTTCACTGGTTACAGAAATCGGAGAAAGGAAGAAAACATATTTTCCCAATGTTAGAATTGAAGGGGGTAATGAAAATGAATTGGCGTTGGAATAGAATGGAATTCCACTTGTGAAGATTTTCTGTTTGTATGTAATTAGATACATGGCTAGATAGAATTATAGATTTGTACATAAATTAATAATTAATTATTCATACATTTAAGTTTGATTTGGATTGATGTTTAATTTTGATTTATTTAATTTGAATTTTTTATTTTTTTTTCTACATAATTATTCAAGAAGTTGATTTGGTTATTTTATAAACAAAAACATTGAATTTAGCAAAAATAATACAAAAGGGCAAAACGGTCATTTTTATAATTCAGCACTGTAATTCAGAGGTTCCAACCAAACAACAATTCAAAATTCAAATCTTAAAAATTCAGACCCTCTTAGAAATTCAGACCTCTTAAAAATTCAGATCTTAAAAATTCAGATTCTGCCAAACAGCCTCTAACTTTAAGTTACATATGTTTTCTGTCAAAAAAATATATTTTGGATTTCACAATAAGTATTTCGAATAGAAAAACTTATTTTGTAACCCCAAGAACAAATATCACACATTACCGAATTTTGCGTACACATTCACATACATGTTCTACTGAGAAGCAAAATCAAAATATCTTTGTGAGGATTTAATATTACCATCCGATGCAACTCTTATTAATGTCATTTCATAATCTTGTTCTCTGGGGTCCTAAAACAATGTATCTACTTTAATAAATGAAAATTTTTTTGCCACATGTCACACTCTCATTCAATTTGCCAAATGTCATTTTGTGGTTATTTTATGGGTTTTTCTATTTTAATAAATTGCACATAATACTTTAATGTAATAATTACAATAAATATAGTAAAAAATGAATATCAATTTCATTAATAGACTTACTTTCTTATTTAAAAATTCTCAAATTAAAGTTCATTAGTTTATTTTGTTTATTTATTTAAATTTAAAAGATTAAAAAAATCGATTTTAATAATTCGTTATTTTTCTTATTTTTCTTATAAATCCAAAGTTCTTAAATATTTAGACATTTATATTTATTTTTTTTAATTAACTCATGTAATATATGGGTCTTATATCTAGTAAATAATCAGTTTTGTTATATTATGTTATATTGATAAATAAAATATCCTCATATATTTCTTTCTATATATATCTCCTATTTATTTTAAATAGTGACATGTGTAGTGTAAATATATTATTTTCATTAAATATGACACAAGTGATCATTTAAGCTAGGTAGAATGATATATACAAAGAAAATATATGAGGATATTTAATTTTTCACATTCTATTCCGTACCCTACGGTCCATTTTCATCCGGTTTTGTCGTTATACCAACTAAGAACTAATTAATTCGCTGTTATTTAATTAATGTTAGACATGCATATAACAGTGCGCGTAGAGCCGTAGATCACGGCAGGACATGAGATATTGGTCCAAACAAATTGCAAGCAAAAGACGAAATTAAACTCCAAATAAAAGTGCCAGAAAATGAATGAAAACATATGATTTTTTGGGGGCGGCTAACCACTCCCATACTCCTTTCCTCCTGTTTTCGTCAACTTTTGAACAAACGCGTTTAGATTATGGGCATATGTTGAGTATAAATAGATAACTATAAACCGATATATACATATATACCTTCATTCGTCATTTCTAAATATGACCTCGATCATAAAAGGGGGAGGACTTTTCTTGGTTCTTATCATCCTCATCTTCATTAGCTCATCTTCTCACACCATAGCAACCGCCCGAAGCCCATACAACCGTGCTCGTCAACTAGGTTTGTTTTCCTCTAAACATGTGACATTTTGTAATAGGATATAAAGTATAAACCCAAATAGTTTCACCATTTTTAATAACTTCAAAAGCATACAAATTTTAATTACCATCTACAGTCAGGTCAGATAATTGTGTTTGGAAAAAGGAAACTCTACTTTTATGGTTTGATTTTTAGATATTGTTTCCTATAATTATTTCTTTGGTGTATTTTCCATCTATAATTTATCACTAATTTAACACGAGCTTTTCCCAACTTGCTATTATAATTTGTAAAGGAGCATACACGGTATCTGCCATGAAGTTGCTTCTCTTTATAGAACTCATCAAAATGACAGTGTTTTGTTAACTAAACACACACAGTGTTTTGCTTGATGGATTGAGAGTAATGAAAGTTTACGTAGTAACTAATTTGAATTGGTATGTGCAGCTACAGATTGCAATTCGCCGAAGCAAGGAGATATAGTCGGGTGTGGTGGTGGAAGTGGTGGATCAGCAAAACCAAAACGAAAACCATGTGGTTCAGCACCAGGTTCGAGCCGTTGTAAGAAGGGTTGCTGTGGAAAGACAAAATTTGGAGATACCATCTGCTGCTAGTAGTATTGGAGGGTGTGCCTCATTAATTAAATGTTCTATCGGAATCCCTTGTTTAGATTGTCAAATAAATTAAATTGATATAATTTCCAATTCTTTTTTACTATTTGTGCTTGTAGTTCCATATGTCTGATCGCAAAAGCTTGTATACGTCAGGCATGTTGATTATCAATATTCTCATTGAATTCAAACTGAGTCATGTAATATGCATATATACAAATCACCCATGTCCCATGAGAGTGTGAGACATACACCGTGGATCGAGAACAATGAAACAAATACAAGTAATAGGGTAATACAATATATGGGCTAATAATGCAAAGTACTTGATATATGCTACATGTTAAATTCACGCATTCAGTTATTCGAGAGATGCTTTCTCACGTATTACAAGTTGAAAAATTGGAAATCAATCAGTTGAATTGAAACTGAATCTAAATCAGTACATATACAAATGAGAAAGGAAGGAAAACTAATTGAACTACTAACAGCCTCAACTGTCTAACTAACTAACTAACACAATATTTACAAACTGACCCTTCCTCTATGTTTAAATTACAAATATAACCTCTAATATTCCCCCTCAATATATATTCTTCAGACCCATCTTGCATAAAAAAGATTGTAACTTGGTGCTTGGTAGAGGTTTAGTAAACATATCGGCTAATTGCAAAGCAGATCTTATTGGCAAGAGTTGAATTGTTTTATCTTCAACTTTCTCTCTTACAAAATGACAATCCACTTCAATGTGTTTTGTGCTTTCATGAAATGTAGGATTATGAGCAATTTGAAGAGCAGCCTCATTATCTCCAAAGAGTAAGGTTGGATCTTTTGTGTGAATATCAAAATCCTTCAATAATTGTTGCATCCAAACCAATTCAGCAGTAGTGATAGCCATAGCCATGTATTCAGCTTCTGCTGAAGACCTTGAAACAGTTGATTGCTTTTTAGATTTCCATGAAACCAATGAGTCTCCTAAAAACACACAAAAACCTGTTACAGATCGTCTAGAATCTTTGCACTTTGCCCAGTCTGAATCACAAAATCCTTTGAGTTATAATGAGGATTTTGATGAAAATAGAAGTCCTTGGCCTGGAGACTGTTTCAGATATCTGAGTAAATGGCATGCAGCATTGTAATGAGGAACTCTTGGATTAGACATAAACTGAGATAATTGTTGTACTGCAAAGGAAATATCTGGTCTTGTGATGTTTAAGTAGATTAATCTTCCAATTAACCTTCTATATTGAGAAGGATCTTGATAAAAATCTCCATCCTTTGCAGATAACACAGATCGTGGTTCTATAGGGGTATTTTTGGGTTTTGCAGCTAATAATCCGGCATCTTCTAGAAGTTGCAAAGCATAATTTCGTTGAGAGAGCATAATACCCTCCTGTGAATGTGCAATTTCCAAACCCAAAAAATATCCTAAATTGCCCAAGTCTTTTAGTTTGAATTCTTGACTTAACTGAGACTTGAGATAAGCAATGCCTTGTTGAGATGCACCTGTAATGATTATATCGTCTACATAAACAAGTAAACAAACATAATCATCACCTTTGCCTTTATGAAACAATTAATAGTCTGATTTTGACTGAGTAAATCCAATTTTCAGCATAAAAGATGAAAATTTTTCAAACCATTACCTGGAAGCTTGTTTAAGACCATAAATGGACTTATTAAGTTTACAAACAAGTTTGGAATGTGAACCATTAGGTTCCCCCTGAATGTTGAGTCCAGGTGGAATATCCATGAAAACTTCCTCATGCAAATCTCCATTAAGAAACGCATTGTTAACATCCAATTGCACCATATTCCCTTTCTTTTGCACCATATTCCCTTTCTTTATTGCAGCAATAGCTAAAATAAGTTTGACTGTGACCAATTTTGCAACAAGTGAGTAAGTTTCAAAATAGTCAATTCCTTCTTTTTGATTAAATCCCTTTGCCACAAGCCTTGCCTTATATCTTTCGATAGTGCCATTACTTCCATGTTTGACTTTATAAACCCATCTACATCCAACAATGTTCTTATTTGGAGGTAGGGGCATAATTGTCCAAGTATTATTTGCTGCCATTGCATCCAATTCCACATTCATAGCTTCACACCATTCTTTATGTATTGATGCTTCTTTATAATTCTTGGGCTAAAATGTTGAAGAAACAGCCATAGCAAAAGCTTTGTGATTCTTAGAGACTTTATCATACGATAAAACAGAATCCAAAGAGTATGGTGTAGAAGAATGAGACACTATGTTGCAATGATAATTGCGTAAATATGAAGGAGGTTGATGATTTCTTTGAGATCTTCTTAATTCTCCTGTTTGTTCAGAATTCAGATATGAATGTGTAGCTTGAACAGGTGCTGGTATTGAATCAGGAATAGAATGAAGAATGTGTTCATTAAATGGCATAGGCAAGACAATGTTGGAAAAAGGATCTGAAGGTGCTGTTAAGAAGTTTTTTTTCTTGAAATGGATAAATGGATTCATAAAATATAACATCCCTTGAACAAAAAGTTTGATTTGTTTCAAGATCAAGAAGTTTATAAGCTTTCATATTGGGTGGATATCCCAAAAATATGCAAGCTTTAGCTCTGGGAGTAAACTTCGTTCTTTGATTTGACAAAGTTGAAGCATAGGCCAAGCATCCAAAGATTCGAATATGTTTATAATTTGGAACTTCACCATGTAACAATTCATATGGTGTTTTGAATTCAAGAATTTTTGATGGAATTCGATTGATCAAATAAGCTGCAGTCAGAATTGAATCACCCCAGTAGCAAATCGGAATTTGTGATTGAAACATTAATGATCTAGCTACATTCAACAGATGTTGATGTTTCCTTTCCACAACTGAGTTCTGTTGTGGTTTTTGAACACATGATTTTTGATGTATAATTCCTTTTTCATCAAAAAAATCTTTGAATTCTAACTCTTTAGCATTATCTGATCGAAAACATTTGATATTCTTGTTGAACTGAGTATGGACATAAGCATAAAACTTTGGAATAATACTTTTGATATCAGATTTTTGTTTCAACAAGTATATCCATGTATATCGACTGTGATCATCAACAATTGTGGCAAAATATCTTTGTCTATTATTGGTTTGATCTTGATAAGGACCCCATATATCACAATGAATAATGGCAAAAGATTCATCAGATATATTGTTAAAAGACTGAAATGGAATCTGCTTTTGTTTAGCCAAAGGGCAAATTGGAAAATGTTTGTTTACAATCACTATGAGTAATAGAAACATCCAACAAAGTCTTAATAGGAACAAGACAATTATTAGTATGTCCTAATCTCTTATGCCACAAATCTAAAGAAACAGTATTGATTCTTGAATTTAAATCTGAATTACAAATTTGTTGTCCGTTGTTGTTGATGACATACAAATCTTGAATATTGTCAACTTTGCCAATCATCTTCTTGTGATGAACATCCTAAATATATGCATTGTGACATGTGAATTGAATGATTAGATGTTGGGATCTTGTAAGAGCACTAACTGATAACAAATTCAAATCAAACTCAGGAAAGAGTCCTTTAATATGAACAAGAAATCAATCTTGATATCTCCAATCATATGAACAGGTAGAGTTACTTTATTTGGAAGAGTAACCGTATGATTAAAAACCATTCTCTTGTTCATAAAAAAATTAATATCATGACACACATGTTGAGATGCCCCTGAATCTAATATCCACATATGAGAACCCAATCCGTTTTTAACAGTAAGAGAATAACACTTACCTGTTGAGGTATTCTCATTTGGATTGACAGAAATCATGTGGTTTGACAGGGTTGACATCACTTGTTGGCATTGTGCTGAAGAAAATCCTCGAAACATGTTGCTAAGTTCATCAGTTATTGGAGAATTCATATCATCATTCATCATAGCAGCAACAACATGATTAGTTTTTGATTTAGGTTTATAACCTGGAGGGTAACCATGTAATTCGTAGCACTTCTCAATCGTGTGTCCTTGAAACTTACAGTGAGAACAATAAGGCATGTCTCTGTTATTTTGATACTTTTTGGCTTGATTCTGACCTGCATTAGAGTTGTTGACATTCCTGTTAGAATTAACAGGGGTAGATTTGGCAAGAAATGCCAAAGAAGTTTGATTGTTTGAAAGCATCTGTTTTTCTTTTTGAACTACCAGTGAGAAAACACGATTGATTACTGGTAATGGATCCATCAACAAGATTTGACCTCTTGTTTGAGCAAAGGATTCATTCAATCCCATAAGAAAATTCATAATTTGTTCAGATTGAAAATATTTTTCAATTTCCTTGACTCCACCACAATCGCATTTTCCACAAGAACATCTTGGTCTGAAATTTTCGAGTTCTTCAGTTAGAGATTTCAGTTTAGTAAAATAAATTTCAACAGCATCTTGATTTTCATTGAGATTCATGATTTCACGACGAATCTGAAAAATACGAGGACCATTATTCTGTTCATATCGGTCTTTGAGATCATTCCATATATCCTTTGCAGAATCAACAAACATGATACTAGTAGATATCTCTTTAGAAACGGAGTTCAAAATCCATGAGATAACAAGCTTATTGTTCATCATCCATGAATCACGATTAATAGCTTCAGTCAGCGGTGGTTCAGGTAACGATCCATCAACAAATCCAACTTTGTTCTTCACAGAAAGAGCAATCAACATAGATCTGCTCCAAGAAGGATAACTCTCACCAATTAAAGGTTGAGAAACAAGAATACATCCAGGATTGTCTGAATGATGCATGTAGTATGGAGACATACGATCGTCGATTGGAGATGAACTCGAATTCGAATTATTAGCAGCCATTATAAAGAAAATACAATGATAATCACAAAAACAATTTGTGATTTGATCGGAAATGAAAAACGCAACAATTCACAAGAACAATTTGTGAATTTGAAATCGCCAAAAGAAAATCAGTAATTCACAAGAAACAATTTGTGAATGAAGAACAGGAAAGAACGAACATGAACAAAAAGAGAAACGGAAGCTATCGTTTCTTCTCTGATACCATATTACAAGTTGAAAAATTGGAAATCAATCAGTTGAATTGAAGTACATATACAAATGAGAAAGGAAGGAAAAC